ATATGTCTCTCTCTCTCTCTCTCTCTCTCTCTCTCTATATATATATATATATATATATATATATATATATATATATTTGAGTTTCATCTTTTTTAAAGTATCTCTCTCGCTCTTTCTCATTGTCTTTTTCTCTTTCTTTATTTATCTCTCTCTCTCTCTTTCTTGTTATTTTTCTCACTCTCACTCCCCCTTCTCTCTCTTCTCCTCTCCCCTCTCTCTCCCTCTCATATCTCAATTTCTCTCTCTCTCTCCCTCTTTCTTATATCTCATTATTTTTTAACATTGTCAATTTTAATTATAAGGTAGAATTTTTCTTTGTTTATTTCTTTAGTTGAGTTATGTATTTAAATCATTTTAACTATAAGTTTTCAACTTCTTAAAATAGTTTAAGTTTTATCAAATGAAAATATTTTTATATAAATTATTTATATATAATTAATTTTTATTATCTTCAAAGAGTAATTAGATCATAAGAAAAGTTTAATATCATATTTGTAATAAGATTTGGGTAAATAAATATATCTAATGAGGTTAATTTAATCAAAGATATCTTTGTAAAACAACATTTATATACTCAAAAATATATTATTGTAACCAAACATGAAAATATTTAATTCACGAGAATTTTGTATCAATATTCCAAGGTTTATGAGTAATCAAACATATTTTAGGTAGAGTTAATCATCCATACACTACCAGTGTAAAGTTTTTTACACTGACAACCAATCATATCTTTTAAATTATTTTATTTTATTTTTATTTGATTAAATAAGTAAATGACATGGCACTATTAAAAGATATGATTGGTTTCCAGTGTAAAAAATTTTTACATTGTCATTGTATAGGTGATTAACTCTTTTAGGTATACCCAAGAATCATGATTCCTGTGTATGAAAAAACTTAACTTCTACCAAACATCTCCTAAAAGGATTGGTGATGTAGCCTATCAAATAGCCTTACCACTATCTCTTTCAAATTTTCATGTGCCGTCCACGTTTCCTAACTTGAAAATATGTAACGATTGTTTTCATATTCTTGAATTCGACATCATTTAGTTGAAAGATAATCTCACCTATAAAAATGTTCCTTTAAAGATTGCGGACAAGAGGGTTAAATAGC